TCGTATTCTGCGAATTTTTTCTTCAAAGTAAGACGTGCCCTGGTATTAGGCTCGTTCGAGTGTGCCTTGTCGTTGTTATGCTCGAGCTCTCTTTTCTAATAGATCTAAATGTTTCGTAGTTCACGCTTCTATCTAACCAAATCCGCATTTTCTGTCCTCCCTCTATCGCTTGGTATACTTGAGTTGCTTTCAGATGGAGGTCATAAGCGTCAAGCTGAGTTCTGGAGACGTTCATCGTCGATTCAAGATACGGGTAAGATCTATTCAAATGTTCACATTGTTAGTTCCGGATTCAGGAATGTCCGTGCCTGTTTGACGCAGCGAATAACTGTACTTTAAATATGTGGCTTTTGTCCCCACCGTACGCCGCACTCAGGGGGAGCTTGTCGCGTGCGACGAAACCGCGCTGTCGTTGGTTGTTGCAGAGGAGGGCGGCTACATAGGGGGAGCGGGGAGGTGTGGGGACCGCTCGCCAGAGTCTCGTATCCTTTTCTCTAACCAAGCCTCATGCTTAATGAACATTACTCCTGTTGGAACTATCTCTCGCCAATTCTGTGTAAAAAAAGCTCCCGTAAGCGGCCACGCGACTAGACCGACTGATCTGAACGTGTTTACCTCGCGCCATTGGAATGCTGTTTTTGGGGGAACCGGACGGTAGCGCAGTAGAAGCCGGGAGACTCACTGTATTTGTGTGTCAGCTGCAGGTGACTGCATGTTTTGTACGTCGGAAAAAGTGTCTCATGTGTGGGATTGGGGGGTGTCCCGCCCTTAAGGGAAATTTCTGTAAAATACGACCCCCCTCAAATTTCTTCGGCGCTGTTTGTCGACGGGGGGCATTTTGTATTACCATTGCTTCCCTAGTTCCGGTTTACAAATCTCACTCTGGTAAAACTTGTGAACGCTTGTGAAGCTGGAGTAAGATCGTCTAGCCACCATCCTAAAACGTGTCAACTCGAGAAAAGGCTACCTAGATGGGTCGGCATCTATGGAAAGCAGAATGCCCCCCTCCCCCCGTCGACAAATCTTCTTCTCCTCCTGGAGCACTATGTCCCTCCCCTCCCCCCAACCAAATTACCAAATACGACCTCCCCCTCCCCAGACCCACGTTGGGTATCCCCAGCGTGAATCTGGGCGGGAAGCAAATATGTCGAAGGCCACGCTGAAAAAGTTGGAAATACATAAAACAACCAAGAATACAGAGCTGAGCGACATTGTCAAAGGGTTAAGAATTGTAGCACTAACGATTTTTTTTGGGGGAGGGGGGATGGACTCCATACGATCGGGGTCGGCATAGTCTCGCGAAAGGAAGTGATCTAAGCTTGTTCGAAGAGAGATGGGGCAGAGTTGATTGGAAGAATGACTAATTAAGGAAAGGACGGTATGGCCACATTGAAACCAGCTGGCGAAGGCTGAAAATAGTGTAATCCTACGACATGTAGTGTAATACGCGCTCAATAATTTAGGGGTCATTGCTCCTCAGCCCTCACTCTTTTAGTCGAGCATATTGTTTTTGTTTTCAGGGCAATGATATGAGTGAACTCTTCAAGGATTTGACCGAGAACCTCTCTCAGATTTCTCAATCAACAGGAGAATTCGATGTCGCATGGCAAGGTTAGCCTTCTGTAGAAGTACAATGGTAGTACTGCAATTGGTAGTGTAATATGGTGAAGCTCCTAAATAGTTCGGCTTGGATGGGGGCATCGAAGCTTGTACTAGCCATTTTGTGAAAACCTTGTAAACTCCTGTGACGAAATGGCACATTCATTTCGACAATTTTGCAGCTTCACAGGAGTTCCTTCTGCCAGTTCCTGTTAGTTAACATAACTAGCAAAAGAGCGAAATGCTCCCTTCAAAGCCGAATAAGGCATTGTAAGTCGAAGACACGGCCCAGGGTTTCCAGGTAGGCGGGACCAGGAAAGGACATCATTGGCGCATCCTTCCAAATTTCTTCTCCGCCGGAGAGGGTGGGAAGGTAAGAGCGCCAGGCGTGTTTTCTTGGGCCCGCTCACTCGGCCATCCTGAGCAGTGTTCTTAGGAAAAAGAGGTGCATCAAGTTCTGCAGCGTGAGTATTATGCAGTGTACAATTTTCAACCTATTTATCGTTCCTTCCCAAGGGCCAGTCAGAGAGATCGGAAAGTGCCAATGCGCGGCTAGATGCACTTCTCGCTGGTGTTGTCGTCGTGAAGGCGGCATTCACATCAAGATCTAATTGATTTCTCTCGAAAGCGCTACATCGGGCCAAGCCAACCGACTACGAGCGCCGCGCGTGCTGACCTAGTTTCCGCCCGGATACAGTCTCTGACCCTATCTCTGCTGAGGAATATTTGTTCCGCCTGAATTTGTCGTGTTACAAGTTAGCTCAAGGCTTGCAGAAATGTTAGTACAGAACTACTCAACTGCTCTTCAATTAATTTTGTTCAGATGAGGATGGTGACAACATTATTATCACTCGTCTCACGTGGAACTTGAGAAAGCCTCGAAGCAGCAACGACCTAAACTTCACTCAGTAGAAAAGGAAGTTGAGAAGGTTGAAAGAGGCGCTGATAGCAAGCCCAGAGCGCGCCAATGAAGAGACTGGCTCAAAGTATGTGCCGATATTTGCTATTTTACGTATTGTAAACGTCGAGGTAATGACAAGACATTCTAATATATTGCGCTGGAGGCTGGCGAGCGACGGCCGGCGCTTGACAAGCAGTTGTCCTCAGAGCTGTTTGAATTTTGAGTGTTAAAGCCACGGAATATCGGCAAATCTTGTCACGCTTGATTTCGCTTAAAAATCCCGCTGCTACAGATCGACAAACTAAATGCATCTATCGGAGAGATTCCGCGCATCGCCCACGGTACGCCGCACGCGACGACGCGACAAATTACGATTGTCTTGTCCGTGTCCCATGACTCTCGGGTGAACCTAATACGAGTTATTCGTTCTTTATGCACCGCGGATACCTCCTCTGGACACCTGTAAATCCTGCCAAGCTTTGCCTAGCAGGAGTTTCGTGTCTACAATTTTCATGAAAGTGCAAAAAAACCCCTCCTATGCCAAACATCGTCCAAAGTTCTTTTTGAAGGGAGCTGTCCATAAGGATGTGCTATGCGATATGTGCGATGGTGTGGTGATCGGAATCCGATATAGGTGTCTCCTCTGCGTCGACTACGATTTGTGCCAGAACTGTGAAAGAACCGGTGAGTTTTTCTACGGTAATTAATAAAACTGTTCAGCGTTGCAGTGAAAGGAGGAGGCATAGTGTAAGTGCCAGTTGTAAAAATGTTGATCGAGTTCTTAGTCTTTGAAAACTACTTCTTCAGGGAGTTAATGCTCATCTATTGGTATGATCCGCATTGTGGATCCCCTACGTACCTTTGTGCCATGGGGTGCTCGCCTGAGATACATGCCATCAGGTCGTCAGCGTAAGTTTTTTTTTCCTGTTGTTCTGCGTTATACTTTGCGCATCGTAGCGTAAGCGCCTCTAGCGTTTACACTAACGTTTTCCTGGACCTTGCAGCGGCGCTAGATAGTATACGAGAGTAGGAATGTACGAAACTGCTCTCCTACTCTAGGTGAAGAAGCGTAGGAGAGTAAAACTAGCATCTCCTACGACGCTGGAGAGTATCGTAGATAAGGAGAGTATTTTCTACCGCTCTCCACTCTTGCTAACGTCTCATGGCCATGCTGCTGTAAATCTTAGCGGAACGCTGGTGAAACGCTCCGTGAAAACGTTTGTAGAAGCTAGAATCGAACCTTACATATTCCCGAACGTTTACGAGCGCCGCAACAGTATAAAAGCACCTATATAATGCATTCGACGATGGTATTGGACTGGGGGGGAGATATCATAATTTGTTGGCCTTCCAACGTGCTGTAGGCTCTCGTCACAGCAACAGGGAACACGTTCGCCACGAAGGAAGAGTACAAGGTTGAAGTCTCTCACCCAATCCATTATCGTGGAATGTGTGCAAATTATTGGATGATAGCCCAGTAATGCAGTATCTCAGCGGATTTGGTAATCCTGCATTATTTTAGACCGCCGTCATCATGCTGAAGGAGTGGGTGCAGGATTTGGTGACGGCTAACAGGTTAGTGTTTGTTTCCATTGCAGTAGTGTGAGTATCCGTCTTCCTCAGGCATGGAAGGGACGCCGTTGGTAATATTTCTGAAAAGACAGCCTTTTTGCTGAGGATGAGGCGTGTCAACAATGGCGGGTTTGACGCGCCATCAGCCCGTTCGCCACCAGTTGCTGAAGTGGATGAGCGGTCAAGGTGGGACGATTGATACAAGCGACATGATACAGTCTTGTCGCCTGCTGATGGAAAAGTAAAGAATGGGCTTGCGCCGCGCCATACCAATCCCCTTTGAAACGCCATCATCCCGCGAACAGAGTGTACTTATTGACTTGTTGGCAATTCATGCGCAGCGTGTCGTGCATGCTAGCGGAAGGAGTCATATTATTGAGTCAGTCCGCTTAGAGAGCATGACGGTATTTACAGACAGTGGGACAACTGTTCTCGCTGCTCCTGCGAATTTCGAGTTAGTGACTACTTAGTTTTCTTCTTTTGAACATACTGAGTTTTTCGAGTCATTCCTGGGATTGACCGTTTGAGTGAGGGTCTAGTTAATCTTTTTTGGAATCGAATGCAAAGTTACGAAGTCGAAATGGAGGACAAGAAGGCATACATCTGCGAGGATGAAATCGAAAACAGTCACAAGAGAACTAATCCGACAGCGGAGGACACAGCGGAAAAAGGATAATTTTGCGGAACAGCGCCCTCAACGAAACGCACCACCACCTATCGATCCTGCAGCATGCTGTGAAGATCTTGAGCACTATCTGTAATTCTATTCTGCTTGAAATCGCCTATATATCATTATAAGTGGCGAATACTTTCGTTCAGTTTCCGCGTAGGTGGCGTGGCCTGCGGCGCTGCAGCCTTTACGTACGTACACATGCGATTTGAAAGATCGAGCCACTCGACGATTGAGATCGGTCGATCTTGCGTTTGGAGGCCACCCGACGATTCGAGAGACTCGGCGATCTGACGTTTTGGGAGGTTACCGGATCGCCGAATTCCCGCTGTCGCTACCAATCGACGCTTTCTATACATATCCACCCCTTTGGCGCGCAAACGCGAAAAACGCCGAGTCTCCCGAATCGCCTGATCGCTCATTCTCTGCATTCGCCTGATCAATACCCATACTGTCGCGCAATCCCTCAAACCGCTCAACCTCCCAGACCGCTGAATCTCCTCGGTCGCGAAGTATGATTGCGGCCTTATATTCCGGATTTTTTTTGAAGAATTTCTTTTCAGAAATTCGACAGCCTTAAAAGTGCCGAGGCTGAATACTGTCAAGCCATGGAAAGAGCTAAGGAAATCAACGAGTCCTTGGAAAAGGCCAAGGAGATGAACGAGGTGAGGATACGATTTTTTTTGTAATTCAAATTAAGTTAGAACAACTCCTGTATTTATGAAATGTGGTATTCAGGACTATCAGGAGGAAGCTGAGACTGAGAACAGTGAAGTTGTGAAGGCACCTAGCGAGGTTAATGGATGACCTTTTCCCCCAATCAATATTTATGTAAAATTTGAAATTCAGAAATTCAACGACCTCAAAGAAGCTGAAGAGAAGTACTGTAATGCTGTGAAGGAGTCGAATGAGGCGAAAGAATCCAGCGATGTGAATGGGTCAAACCTACCCAATGAAGCGATAGGTTTGCAGAAAGGTTTATTTGCGATAGACTTCATGGACTTCACTATCTATTTCTATCTTGTTCGTACTAGCGTTTGGATTATGGCTCATTTATGCATTGTTTCAGACTGCAGATGCTTCGTTTCCCGTGTTGGCCGTTGGCAATGCCCTGCATGTTGTAACAAGATCGCGAAAACGAGAAGAGGAAGAAAGTGTTATGGGAAGTATGGGAAGGTTCGTGAGTTCCGCTTGTACGGACCAGTACTTCTCTAGTAATATCGAATTTAGGCCGTTCATGAAGCGTACAAGAATGCAACGTCTCCTAGAAAATCCCAGGTAATCAGGAATTTTCTTGTGGAGTTGCTGTTAAAGAAAAATTCCGTGGTAATCGGAGGGGCGTAGCCCACAGCCTGATGCTTTTCCCATTGGCACGCCGTTACTTTTGACCTCATGAGGGACGCGGCAGTGAGGAAGGCACAGCGGTGTGAGTTCCCGCCCATATGGCTTGTACGGTGCAACCTTGCAGGACTCAGACAAATCGAGCAGCGACGACTCCAGTGACTCAGACTTTGAAACCCTATCCCATGAAAGCTTCCAGGAATGCACAGACAAAATTTCTCCGTATGTTTCTCTTTTAATTGTTATTTATTTATTTCACTTTATTTCCTCAAAAATCACTGATTGACCTTTCTTGTTTGCAGGGTCGAGAAAGACAGAAATGAGACAATTACAACAAACAATGCTGGAGGCAGCGCTGATAATGCGGTAATAATCTTTGTGTTGATTTCTTCCTTTGCAATCGTTCTGGGAGGGGAGAGGAGGGAGTGCAGCCGGTGTCGCTATGTGAAAACTAGTAGATCAATGGAGCTTACGGGGAGGGGCTAAAAGTGGCACTCTGCTCACGTTACGCTGCACAAAATGGCAGTTTAGATGGAAAAAGAAGGATCAAATTCGGAGGGGATTCCCGCCACCCCTACAAGCGAGAGCAAGCCCTTCATCGCTGTTTCCACGGCTACCACAAGGAAACAAGCGCTCACTTCCACTCGAAGGATTATGGCAGGGGGGGGGGGGGGTGGGCGTTTGCACTTCTACTATAATACTTTCCATTGTAGTGTCGTGCCATCAAGTAGAGATTTGAAAGCCTTGTGATGCCATGTAGTGATACGAGTCCAAACTGGTAGAAAGTGCTTGTCAGCTCTTGTAAAGAAGCTCTTGTGAAGCAATGGATAGACAATGGGAAGTAGCGAAAGTTGCGCCCGCTTCCCTCCCTCCCCCCCCCTTCAAGCCAGTGCAACGAAGCAAGTTGTGCAGGTGCGCGCAGTAGGAACAAGGTTTTTTTCATCCTCTCCACCCCACGCCCTTTTCACCTTTTATATGCGATGGCATGACTTTCAATTCTGTTATCAGTTTGTGGGGTTTAGCGTGTAATTTTGAGTACAAGTAATACTGATAAGAATTGTTTAGGATTTTTATAGTGCCATACTTTGCACGTCTATGATAACAAAGGAAATTTTAGGCTTCTAATATGTATCCAAACATCAACGTTGAGCAGCAGGATGACGGTCCAGAAGACCAAGGAATTGTAAGTTGCTCGCTTTGGGGGTCACTGCGCGACATCGAGCACGTTTCGCGACGTTGCCGCGGCGTCCGCAGCAGTAGAGACGAGTTTCTACCCTTTCGCCTTCCTCTTCACTTTTTCAAGCATAATCTGTGTTGCTGTTTCAGCTTTTCCACAGGTTCTTACGTTCCACGAGTCGCAATGGCGAGAATTTTTCAAATATGATCCAGGCGTCTCAATGGAAGTTGGGGAGGGGGGGCGTTAATGAAAGCACTTTGATCGCTACGGTGTACCCTTTCGGTAAGTGTGAGAACTTGTGGAGAAGCAGAAACAGCAATATTTTCTATGCCTGGTTGAATGTGACGAAACGCGTGTTGCTGCGGTCGCCGCGCGCGAATGCGCGATGTCGCGCGTTGATGTCCTGGTAAACACTTAACCGCAATGGAGACGGGCAAGAGAATCGTAATTTGCCGCTCCGCCGCGCGCGGCGTTTTCTTAACTTGTGTTAGCCTGTCCATTGAAGCACCGGATTTCACGTGGACTGAGGAACTATAAACATGCCTCTTCTCGCCATCTGCGACCTGGAAATCGTCATTTGTGGGCGCGACGTCGCACGCGACGCCTATCAAAGCGGCGAATTACGATTCTCTTGTCACATACCCGACCGCAATAGTTGTTGCTTGGCCGATTGGAATCAGTGAATCGTAATGGATTTTCTACAGGCATTCCGTATGATTGAGATGGGATTTTCGGCAGAAGAAGTGTTCCGCGTGGTGAGAATGCATGGAAACAACTTTGAGCGCTGCATTGAGGAAATTCTCAAGAAGTAAAACAACCATCATGTTTCTTGTAAATATTTGGCATCGTTACCATAACACCATTATTTGTGGAGAAAAAAATTAAAAAATCAAAAAAAATTAGACTAGATAACCTTTAAGGGTTGTTTATCGACGATTGTTAACTTTCTCATATTCATACTTGTAGTCCTGTCCTCGCTATTCATAGTCTTGTTTCAACCATGTGTCGTCTGTATAGTCAAAATGTAGATTTTGTATAAATATTGTAGTACTTCACCTTGTAATGCAGAAATATTTCAAGCACTGTAGCGAAAGCTGTTATTGTTAGTGCACGCTCACACTTCGCGTCACGAGCGACACAAGACGCGCGACTGCGACCAATGACGCCTCACCGTTAGTAAAATATATGCCTCACCGCTAGTGAAATATATCTGCAAGTGCCCAGCCGGACAATTCAGACTGCGTTCAGACTTCGCGATCGGATCGCCTGAGCGAGTGGGTGGCACGATCCAATCGTTCAGCGATCGCAAAGTATGAACGCGTTCTAACAGGGTTTACGTTGCAACAGTCCAACGACTAGCGGTGGCGCCGGTTTTTCGCTGCTACTTGATTCCCAACGAGCGACTGAATTACTCGTTGAAGGCGAAGTAAACAGCTTCAGACATCATTGCACTTCAACAGCTGTAGTGGAAGAAGGCAATCTCTAAAAGCAGTTGGCATGATTAATTTCTAAGACGAGTAGGATCAATACGCCTGGCAGGACGAAATTCTACGCCCCCTGAACAGGAGCTGCGTAACTTCTTTTCCAAGGAAAAATACCCTTATAAGGTCCTACTAAGCTGCAACATACCGACCCGGACGCCCACGCGCCCGCCCACAAATGGACGACCGTACCTGATGCTCGTATTGCTTCATTTGCTAAGTAGAATATGAAGCGAACGGTTTTCCACAAGAGACTAGAGCACAGAACCATGAAAGACTGTAACTGCCTTCACATTCAAAGTCAGCAAACGGCCAGTGATTAACTGGGTGACGGTCTTTAGGACCACGCGACGTCGCGTGCGCGGCAATCTGCAAACAATGCGAGCTTGCAATGGGGCGCACGCTCACAATAAACTCACTGCGTTATCGAGTCAGATTGCGTTCGCTTCAGCTTTCACCCGCTCTTCACTCTGATAGACATGGGTTGTCATGCCCGTTAGATTCGTTCTATTTGTATAACTGCAGTTCTTACATAGCAATCATGGTGCAGAGAAACCTACACAGACTCTGCTCGCGAGTCACTTGAGCTTACCTGCTGATCTCCAATCATTTGATTGTCACAATGCTTTCTGGACAGTATTCTCAGAGACTGTACTTAGCGTCGTGCTGTTGAGGTATAGCGGACTGTCCTGTTGAAAAATAGCAGCAAAATGTCACTGTCGCGGTGAAAAAACCTTCGCGAACGCGCGCTGATCGTGCAATTGCTGCGCGCGACTTCGCGTCGCGCCAAAGAAACGTACCCGCCTGACAGTAGTCAAACGCTCTAGTTCGTCTGCGTCCTCTTACTACTGATGGTTCTTTGCCTAGGACTGCATGTACGCTGCATTAATTTGGTATCGACGCAAGAACTGCACCCTGAGGAGAGCGCGCGAGAAACCCGAAACAGCATCCCCTTATCATACCCTTCAGCCTCGATTCCGCGCGCTTTCAAGTAACGATGGTATACATTTGTAGAGCTGTCAGTTTGTCCTCCCTGCACAAGGCAAGTACCGTCCTCGGAGCTATACTCCTTATCCCTGAGTCGGGGTAGGCGTGGCATTTGGACATGGCATAGGATGGGTTACTCGTGGGATATTTCAACTCGAGACAACTGCCATCTTGTTCTATGGTGGACAGAGACATGACCACAATTGTTTCAAAATGAAAATATCTCACCAGAAGCACAGCCACCGCCACGTTTAGTTGAAGTACGCAGCCACGCCTACCGCATCCTAGGGATTTCGAGTGTAAATGTACAGCTTGTTTTCAATCCGGGTAAAGTTCACTACATCCAAGGCGCGACGAGGGCGACGAAAGAAGAGTTGATGATCGTATCGATGCATCGGGGTCCAAATGACCCAGGGCAGTGCGCGCCACGTCGTCACGGCACAGCAAGTCAACTAGCTAAGAAATATTCCGCTAGTCTGCACGGATGATAAATTCGCTTTTGTTGCAAGACCAAACCACGCAAGACGCAAACCCAATGGTACATGTAGACTGGCAATGATCACTGACAGTTTTCTTTCTCGGGTTTCTTTTCTTTTTCTTTTTTTTCTGATCTTACCCGTTATCTTTACTGATAGAGCCCTTTGAACGGGAAGTTTTTACACGGCCCCGGGTTTTGTTGACCGTGCGAGGTATTTCATTGGTAATTGATCGGACTCCAAATGGTGACATTTGGCAAGATCTTATCAGCATTTTCGCGCTTTCAAAAATCAAATGATTGATGAGCAGTAATGGATGAGTGATGGCAGAGGAAGGGGAGTTAGCAGAGAAGGTTAAGAATCAAGTGAGAGACAGTTACGATGTTGCCCAGTCAGTAGGGTCGGCATTAAACCGCAACTGTTATCTTCTAGAATTTATGTTAATTTTAGTACTCTTGAGATGTCAGCTCGGTTAGCGGGAGATACATTTATCAGCTGGTCAAAGACCAAAGGTTTAGTGCAACATCCATTCCTGTAAATCAACGAAGCTACATAGAAGACCTGGCTTCCGTCCCCTCCGGCCGGCGATCTTGGTCAGCGCGCTCTGCAGAGTGCACATCTGGTCTAAGCGTTGGGTGTTTCCCAATGACATCATATCATTATATTATCTGATGACCTTCTCAAAAATACCATTCAATTTTGGATAAGTAGCATCCATAGGAGAGTGATTACGATGGCCAAGCTATTAAGGTTGTCCGGTAAAGTTTCAGCGATATATGATATATATATATGATATCTCAAATAAAGATTGATATAAAATCTGCCTTGCTTCTCAGTAAGCACATTGCTGTAGAGAATTTCTTGGCGCTATGATGAATGGTATCACCATCAGCGTTTCCACCCAGCTGCTTGGGATAAACCCCCTTTCTTCCAAAGATTTTTTCAAGGCATGTGAAAGAGCACTTCGGCACCGTAAATTTATTTTCTTCCGACATACTAAATCTTCAGCGCGGGCAAATTACGGCAATTGAATAAAGATAAAATTTAACCAGAGATAGATGGGGACCAATAGTGTAGAGAAAGCACTGTGCGGCAAATGGCTATACAACTTCATAATAGGAGATATATGACTTTGAAGTGAAACTCATAGCGTAGAACCTAAGCAATATTGACGAGGATTCAATAAAAGGGGACACTTTGGAGGCTGACCAGCATCGCTCGCAACAGTTCGAGAGTTACGACAGAAAGGGCTCGTCGTTGGATCCACTGAGTTGGCAGAATGGTGTGGAACGCATTGGGAAGGTGAAAAAACTCGACAATTAGGTGCCCCACAATCGGAGTGACCGGCAGGAATCGGCACGTCTCGAGGTTCCTTCTGCATTGCTTTTGCGCAGCAGAAACGACCTGTTTTTGGGCCGAATTGTCACCTGTGATGAAAAATGGGTCATGTATGATAACAGGAGACGTTCCGGACAGTGGTTGGATTTCGACGAACCACCGAGGTAATTTTCAAAGCCGAACCCTCACGAAAAAAAAGATTCTGGTCACGGCTTGGTGGTCATCGGCTGGTGTGATCCACTATAACTTTTTATCACCAGGCCAAACCATCACAGCAGAACCCTACTGTGAAGAAAATGACGAATTCCGAATAATTTGCCGCTCGCCAGCTCACACTTTATCAAAAGGAATGGTCCGGCGATCTTTTGCATGACAAGCGCTCCACATGTTATCCAGAACCATAAATTGAACGAATTGGGGGTTGAAGCTCTACCTCAACCGCCATATTCTTCAGACCTTTCGCCAACCGACTATCACCTTTTCAAACATTTTTAGAACTTGGCTGAAAAATACTAGCATCAATTAAGGACTAGACGCAAAAGACTTCGTAGTATTTCGTGATTCTGCCACCTAGTTTTTTCTTATGTATGGATTTAATTTCGACTGCTGTCACATTGGCAAAAGTGTGCTGATTCGAATGGTGCCTATTTCGATTAAATCCGATGAGTATTAAAAAAGTTACGATCGTTTAAAGTGAAACACCCAAAACGCTGAGAACTTTCCGGACAACCTAATATTAGATGTGTAGGGCATCAGGCATGTTCTGCCGTTGACGGAAAATTCGCGAAATACGCGCCGCCTTAAATTCCCTGCTGGTACAATCCCACCTTGCGCGCTCACCCGCCTAGCATCGTCGCTATAAATCCGCTAAGTTTCTACCCCCTCTGCCAGAGCTTTTCTGCGAGAAAATTCCTCCACTCTCCTTTTTAAGAACTGGGAGACAAAGGTGGGTAAGGCATTCGAAATAGGAAAAACTGAGACACGTCAACATCTGCGACCTTTCTTTCGAAGGGCAAATACTACCTCTTCCCCACTCCCGTGCTACAATCACGGCGCAACATCGCTTGAGGATTCCCGCAGCGATACGATACGCCATTGGCAGGGCAACGTCTTAAGTAGTGCACGCTGAGTGAGTGGGGGGCTATGGGCGCCATTCGTCGGAGCAACAAGATATACTTTGCATGATACACGCGTCGGTGCGTCCGCTGGTTGAACAGGTCGGTCTGATGGTGAACTCGCATCAAAAGTGAACAAAAACCGCGAGAGACGCAAAGTCGCAAAGCGCAGGGCGTCACCTACCTCGGCTAAGGATAAGAAAAAGAAACCAGTAAAGATTATGCAAGCAGTAGGAGTAGTCGGTGTGAAATGGTCGCAGGGGTGCTATATAGTGGGAAAACGGCGGAAAAAAGTGAATGAGGTGGCCAAGAACCTGTGAAAAAATCCTCTATTCTACCCGACTCAAAAAGCAATTTTGGACGAGTTCCCCGATGGCATCGTCCAATAACCCGCTACAGTAGATGCGGCAGCATGTATGTGCCCTCGCATTGATGGCAGCACCGCAGCCCTTCAGTATATTTTTTATTTTTTTATTTATTGCATACACCATAGCACATGAAGCAACAATGGACCAACTGTAATCACACAAAAGGCTAAACTGACAATTATAATAGCAAAGTTCAGACCCTATCGTGTAATAAATAATAATACAGAATATAATAAAATCAAAAGGTAAAGCCGTAAGGTAAGTAACCTGCGAATCTGACCGCAGACACTACTTAAGTATCCAACGCAGTTTCAAAAATGAGATATAGTCGTAGTAGCCTAAAGTCCATGTTGATAAAGACAGATATATAATATAATTAGACTTGAGCTGTTCGCCAAGGCATAATAGTTGATATATATTAGAAAACTTCACAAGATATAGATAAGAAGAAGATAAGACAAGAACGCATCTAGATCATATACTTCAACCGTCACCCACGCAACTAAGGACACGCGATAACAGCAGGACTCTAACTTCCTCGAGCACCAAACATTATACAAAAAAGTAGCTGGGGTCTCAAAACGTAGGCGTGGCCCAACTAGAGGAGAAGGTCGCTGCGTGGATCCGTTGAAGTTTTGTCGCTGAATTTTCTGTGGATCATCTCTCTTCAGTGTGCGCATGTTGTTTGGAAAAATGCTCGTGCCTTTGAGAACTTACCAACTAGCGACAATCCCTGTCAAACGGCTGAAGAAGAGAGAACAGTAAGATAGAGACATAATAACCGTAAGTCCGTCACTCGTGCCACGGGAAGAACGAAATAAATCATAATTTTCGATCTGCGCCCTAGTTTCGAATAAACAGAGGTTCCCAAAAAAATAGAATATATATATACGCATCAAATATTTTTTGGAGTCAGTTTTGCCAATCATAATAGATATATATAATGGCCTTATAATGAAGACGAAAAATTGTTGGTTGTGTAGTTGTCCGGTCGGCTGTGATCGACATTTGTGTTCCATCAACAATTCTGATAAGAATGCATGCGCCTCAAATCAGTCGCCCGATTGTCGCGATGAAGTCGGCCGCTAGCCTGCTTCTACTCGCGCTTGTCGTCACACAGGTAACAACTTTTTGCTTTTGGCTTAACTGCAGTATCAAAATTCATCTATTTAGGCACATGCCACTCTCTTTCATTGGGATAATGAGTATCAAAGGTGAGTCTGATTACTCACAAATGTACCTACAAATACTTCCCTTATCGGTTGCGAACATTTGAGGCAATTATGAGCTCAAGTACTTACTTGGTGAGGATGGAGGGAAGGTTGCGCCTAACTGGCGGGGAAAACCTGCTCGAGCCGGGCTAGATTCAATACAAGTGGTCTTCAAGTGGTAATATCCCTTCGTGGGCTAAACGCACCACACTCATAACCAGTTTAACAGGTTTTCTTTATCGCGTGGATGGAGTAGGCGTGGCTGCGTGCTTAGCGCTTGAAGAGGGGTGACGATGTACTCTCGTCGGGATTTTCTATTTGAAGGGCAGTCATCCTAACCATAGTGCTGAATAAAGTTATGATTTAAAATCTGTACGAAAGGAATATTTCACCAGAACTGGTTGCAGCTGTCGCCCGACGCTTCAGATTGAAATAACGTAGGGCGCAGCCACGCCCACCTCATCTTGGGATATCCAGTATTTTTAGCCGTGTGAGTCTATGTCTGAGAAGTCGACGCTGCTGAGGAATCGCGATTCGGTGCGACTTGCTGCGCTCGTATGCCGATAGCAGTTTAGTAAGAGAGACGGACAAGAGAGCCGTGACTTGTCGCGTCGCCGCGCGCGGCGTGTCGTGCGGCCATGCGCGGCAAGTGCTCAAGTCCGCAAGTGCTTCTGTTTGTCAATTGGACCAGCCAAACTCACTTGAATTCGAGCAAAGACAAGACTCCATAACAGGATATCGGATTCCCACATCCTCACAGTCACATCCAAACGGCCAGGTAGGACAACTCGTCCATAGAGCGGCGTCGCTCGCGTCGCTGACCAGCATATTGCGATTGTCTCGCCACATAACTAGTGTGCGCTGTCTTCTCTGGCTACTGCTCTCACATATGCATGTACTTTAGAAGCCAAAACTCGTTACTGTTACTCTCCGTATCTCTGTTGAGGTCTGCAGCTTCAGGTCACATCGCGACGTTTCGCGAATTTGCGAAAGTTTGAGCGGCAAGTTTGAGCGGGAAACTTGAAAAGCGACCCTATTCAAATTTGTGGCGCGCGGCGAGCGGTAATTCCGCGCGACATCCCATCGTGACTTAGCGCGTCACCACTCCCACCCCCCTCATTCAAGCTACTTTTCGTCCTTTTCCTTTTCTGGTGAATCAGGTCCACCGATTCGAAGGGAAATCCAATCACACGTCATGTGGTGCTTGCATATTGTGATGCAAGCGAGCAGAAAAAATAAAAGGGTTAAAATAGTGATCGATTGATTCCGAAATCATCAGAACACCCAACTATCAGTGCACGGACGGTCTCCATCGGGGCGCTGATAAATAAGAGACCAATATGGGAGCTCTACTGATTGCGACTAATGAGCGCTTCACACCCACACATAGTAGATGGCAATGTCGTTGAAATGCACGAGTGATGGGCGCAAACATCGTAGAATAAAGTTCAGCGTGGACGAAGCAATACACGGCCAGAATCGGGCTATTCCGTTCAAAACAATCGTATAACTTCCGGTATTGAAAGATCACGCTTTCAGCGTTGATTGAGGATACGCCGCGCTCTCCATTCCCATTCAGAATCGTAGTAGTGTTTGACTGCTCTTTTACTGTACCATTAGTTGTGAGGGGTCAAAGAGACGTACGCATCAGCGTTCTTATCCTCCTAGAGCAACCTGTTGCCGTTTATCCCCTCCAGAAGACCAGGTTGACCGGGGAGCTAAGGTGACGGAACTTGATCAATGATTGGCAAGCAGCGCTCTTCGCCACTGCACCACCCTCCGCCCGAATCAACTCTCGAGTAAGAAAAATACTTTCAGGATAAATAGACGTCAACATCACGAATGGATGACTAATGAACAACTTGCTGAGATCGAGCCGGTGAGTAACGCATCCGGAAACCATAACACCGTACAGTCTTGTTCGCTGTGGATGCTGGGACACATCAGGAGGGTAACATTTGGCAGCTCCAGCTAGTTCTCCACGAGTTGTGGAAGCTGTAAGACCACAATAGTTGGGAAACTGGCTGGGTGCCGCGCCAAACGCAGCACCCCTCCCAACGTTTGCAACGAACAAGACTGTAGAGCTTATAGCTGAACATTATTAAGAAATAAAACTGCCTTGAGACTGAGTAAATTCCGGCCCTGTCAATTATTACCCGTGCTAGTTGGGTTCCAGGCGTCTTGGGTATCTTTCTACTACTATCTGACACCACGGGTAGCTGCTGGGTATTCCATCAAGTTATGAGGTGCACATAACCCGCAGCTAGTGGCACTTCAGTCGATGGGTATACAGGGGGGGGGGCAATAAAAAAAGACATTTCGACCGAGTCACATATCAGCAAAGTTTTCGCAGCCCAGACAGAGGACGTGGATACGAGTACCAGGGCGGAAGATACCCAAGATGTTCCTCTATAAGCAGGAGCTGGCCATCCTTCATGTACACCAAAATATGAAGTCATCTCCAGTCGCAGCCTGACTGGAGAAGACCTTTGGAATTCATGTCACCTCCAAACAGCTGCGAAACTTCTAGTGTGGAGTCACCCAGCTACCTGGAGACCAGTACTCTCGATCTGGAAGACCTCCAACATCGAGCAGCTCCGACAACGTCGCTACGGAGTAGGACATCATCTTCACCGCAGTCGCCAAGGCGCGGTTGATGGTATGGACCGGACGTACCTGGAATGGAAAGACCGATTTCTTCGTGGACCCCGGACTGAAGGTGAGCGCTGGCGGTTACATCGAGCAACTCGAGAAGAATATCCTCCCACATGTCGTCGCTGTACATACCTGGAAACACCACATGAAATTGAAGGGCACTGGAAAAACTCTGGCCTACTTATAATGGAAGGGCGTTGAGTTCCTGATGAAGATGGAATATCAAAGCGGGTCACCTGACCTAAACCCCATCAATTACCTGGTTCGGGCGGAGTTCAATAGGGTGGTCTACAGTGGCGGAGAAATCAACGATCGCTGAACTCAGGCACCAAACCATGGTTGCGTGTGCAGAATCCCTCGATGGCGGTGGTCCAGAAGGCTGTGGCGGAGTGTCATGATAGTATTTAATATGCTCTTCAATATGGTAGTAAAAAGGTCCGATCAGAATTCAATAAAGTGTAACTTATAGCGCCTCGAAAGTCAAGGGAGAAAAGTGTCTTTTTTTATTGCCCCCCCCCCCCACCCCCTGTAGGTAGAAGTTACAAGACGTTGTCATAGAATAGAGTCACAACATTGACTTCGTGTTCAGTAAGAGAAAGGGATCTCGTAAGTAAGGATATGGGAGGTAAGGAGTGCACTACCAAAGACCTGCACAAGATAGCGTCAGTTGGGCAACTGATGACGATTTCGAGAGCGTTTGAAATTCCAAAATAACAAGAAGTTGCCGAAGTTCACCTGTAATTCCATGCATTGCCACCTTGTATGTTCACTGTGCTGCTCCAGTGTGGCTCAGCCATACTTCAGATAACCCCTGCTTTGGAAGAGCCCGCTTTAGGATGATATTTCCTTGTTGTGCTCCACGAGAAAGGTTATACGTGTAATTTAAGCTCGACGGCTTCGAATTGAATACGAGAATAATGGAGTTTTACGCCGACATGGACGATGTGCCGTGCTAAGTGGGACAAGCGCTACAGAAAGCACTGTGTCGAATGGATCCAAGATGTACTGTACAACTTTTTTGCATCCTTTTGCCAGCCTCTGCTTAATTGTGGCGAGACTGAAATAAATTTTCAGGTAGCTTCGGATGAAGAAATCGAAGAGCTCAGGGAAATCGAACGAAGTGGAGACAAGCATCGCCTCGTTTCGAAAGTTAGTTCTATTCCAGCTAAAACAGCAAAAAGTGGAAGGGCAGACTTCAAAGGAATTCACTTCAGATCGAGTCCTACAAAATGCGACTTCCCAGAGACATCCAGGAACAAGATGGGTACTGGAATGTGAGTCTCTGAGATTTGGCATGAAGTTCTCTTCCATAAGGAGACCATTTCAGCGATGCTACAGACTACTGGGAGCTGTTCCGCGTAGACGTCGTGACCTCGACAAGAACTTCGACGACTTCACCGGATGGATGACAGATGAGCAGAAGAAAACGGTAAGCAACGCTTGTTTAGTCGGCCAGAAATGTGTGGCTCTGGCGTAGGAAAAAAATAGTGGCTCTTTTGAAGCGAGCACGAAAAAGAGCTAGGCCAAAGTTAAAGGCAGTAGGGCTTGATCGCGGGAGGCGGGCGGTTGTCGCTAGTGTCATTGGTGGAAGGGCTGAATGAGGTGTGGCCAAACGCGGTCTCGCAACCCTTCCACCAATGATGCTGGCAAGCAACGGCCTACCCCAGCAGTACCGCCTACTATCCTCGAATATCTTGAAGAATGGTGCCTTGGTGACTGCTTGGTCGATCGGAGGTAAGAAGGCCTCAAGGCGATGAGAGTTACTTGTTCAACGTTAATAATAGAATAGATTTGCCCTTGACGAAAGCTCCATCTTTCATCCTGACCTGAAATCTTACCCGTTCTTATTAAGCGCTGCTTAAGGTGAGCGACATGAAGGATTCCGGCAAGTCGTATGATGAACTTCGTCAGAAGACGATCGAGTTTTTCGAAGCGCTCCCTGCAGAACGACAAAAAACCCTCAAGGAGGAGTTCAAGGGAAAGTGCAAGGTATCGAAACATTTGTTTCCGCGCCTGTGAGTAGGTGAATTCCAGAGATTCAGGCATTTTTCAAAAAGATCGCCACTGAAGAAGAGATGCAGAAAATGAAAGCCCTGCATGAAAGTGGCAGTACTGACGAGGTGCGCACAATTGTCAAGGAGGTGATTGGGCGCCAAACTGGAGACGACAAGGTATTGGCAGTGAAAATGGAAGCGGTAAGTTGAAAAGAAGCTTTGAGACTGTTAAGACCCCAAAGAGAGGTTCTTGGAACGACTCACTTGCATAACCTACAGTCATGATCCCTGCAAACGATAGGGCGTCTGACGGGGCGTGCATTGGAGCGTTGTGAAGCCGGAC